ACAGATGACATATTATTGTACATAGAAAACCCTAAAGACTCCACAAAAAAACTACTAGATTTAATAAATGAATTTGGCAAAGTACCAGGATACAAAATTAACACCCAGAAATTGACATCATATTTGTACACCAATAATGAACTCTCAGAAAGAGAAACTAAAAAAATCAATCTCATTTACCAATGCAGAAAAGTAAAATAAAATAAAATAAGGTACCTGGGAATAAACTTAACCAAGAAGGTAAGAAGGTAAAAGACCTATTTACAGAAAACTACAAGACATTGAAAAAAAATAGAGGAAGATATAAATAAGCAGAAGCTTATATCATGTTCACAGATTGGAAGAATTAATATCATTAAAATGTCCATACTATCCAAAGCAATCTATAGATTTAACACAATCCCTATTTAAATACCAATGGCATATTTCACAGATCTAGGACAAATACTGCAAAAATTTATATGGAACCAAACAAGACTCTGAATACCCACAGCAACTTGAGAAAGAAGAACAAAGTAGGAGGGATCACAATACCAGATATCGAACCATACAACAAAGCCATTGTAATTAAAACTGCCTGGTACTGGCACAAGAACAGGCATATATACCAATAAAACAGAACAGAAACCCCAGAAATTAACCCAAGCCATTATGCTCAATTAATATTTGACAAAGAAGGCAAGAGAATACAATGGAGAAAAGACGGTCTTTTCAATAAACGGTGTTGGGAAAATTGGACAGGCACATGGAAAAAAATGAAACTAGACCACCGCCCTGGCCGGTTTTGCTCAGTGGTTGGAGCATCGGCCTGCGGTACAGAGAGACCCGGGTTCGGTTCCCGCTAAGGGCACGTACCTCGGTTGCAGTTTGTCCCCGGCCCTGGTTGGTCATGCAGGTGGCAGCCACTCGATGTGTCCCTTCACACTGATGTTTCTCTCTCTCTCTTCCTCTCTCTCCCTCCCGCTCTATCTGATCAAAAAATGGAAAAATGTCCTCGGGTGAGGATAAAAAAATAATAATAATAAAAAAAAAAGAAACTAGACCACCAACTTACACCATACATGAAAATAAATTCAAAATGAATAAAATACTTGAATGTCACTCATGAAATCATAACAATCCTAGAAGAAACCATAGGCAGTAAACTCTTAGACATCTCATGGAGCAGTATTTTCACTGATACATCGGCTAGGACAATAGAAATAAATAAACAAATTGAACTACATCAAAATAAACCATCAACAAATGGAAAAGGGATCCCCCTGTATGAGAGAATATATTTGCCAATGATACCTCTGAGAAGGGGTTAATATCCAAAATATATAAAGTACTCATACAACTTAACAAAAGGAATACAAACAATCCAATCAAAAATGGGCAAAGGACCTGAATAGACACTTCTCCAAAAAGGACATACAAATAGCCAAGAGACATATGAAAATATGCTCAAAGTCACTAATCATCAGAGAGATGCAAATTAAAAAAACAACAATGAAATCACCTCACACCTGCCAGAATGGCTACAATGAACAAATCTATAAATGACAAGTGCTGGCGAGGATGTGCAAAAAAGAGAACCCTAATACACTGCTGGTGGGAATGCAGACTGGTGCAGCCCCTATGGAAAACAGCATGAAGTTTCCTCAAAAAATTAAAAATAGAACTGCCATTTGACCTAGTGATCCCACTTTTAGGAATATATCCTAAGAATCCTGAAACACCAATCAGAAAGAATACATACCCTGCTATGTTCATAGCAATACTATTTACAATAACCAAAATCTGGAAACAGCCCAGTGCTCATCAGTAGATGAGTAAAAAAAAAGCTGTGGACCCTGGCCAGTTTAACTCAGCAGTTGGAGTGTAGCCTGCAGACTAATGAGCTGTGGGCTTGATTTCAGTCAATTAACTGGTTGCAGTTTGTCCCCAGCCCTGGTTGTGTGGGAGGCAACCAGTTGATGTTTGTCTCTCTCACATAGATGTTTTTCTCTCTCTCTCTCCTCCTTCTCACTCTATCTGAAGATAAATGAAAAAAAAATTCTTGGGTGAGTATAAAAAAAAAATACCTGTGGTACAGTTACACAATGGAATACTATGCAGCTGTAGAAAGAAAAAAAGAATCTCTTATGCTTTAAGATATCATGAAGGGACCTAGAGATTATTATGCTAATCAAAATGAGCCACTCAGAGAAAGCTAGGTATCACATGATCTCACTTACATGTGGAATCTAATGAATAAAACAAAGTGATGAACAAAGTAGACCCAGTGACATGGAAACATGGAACAGACTGATGAATCCTGGTGGTGGTGGTTGGGGGGTCGAAAAAGATTACCCAAAAAACTTATATACCTATATGCATAGCCCATTTACACAGACAATAGCTGGTGAAGGCCTGAGGGAGTGGGTGGGGAAAGCAGGATGAAGAGGGTCAATGGAGAAAAAATAGGAGACACCTGTAATACTTTCACGAATAAAGGTAAAGTTTTTTAAAAAGGTGTTTACTCTTTCTCCTAATTATTTTTGTTTTATAAGTATATGTTACTTCAGTTACAGGAAGAATGCAAATGTATTCTTCAAAAATATTGTTTGGCCCTGGCCAGTTTGCTCAGTGGTTGGTGCGTTGGCCCATAGACCAGAGTTGAGGGTTTGTTTCTGGCAAAGGGCATGTACCTTGGTTGCGGTTCATCCCCAGCCCTGGTTAGGGTGGTGTGGGAGGAAGCCAATTGATGTGTCTCTCTTACGTCAATGTTTCCTCTCTCTCTCTCTCTCTCTCCCCCTCTCTCCCACTCTGTCTGAAGATAAATGGAAAAATATCCTTGGGAGAGGATTTAAAAAAAAAAAGAGCCCTGGCTGGTTTGGCTCAGCGGTTGGAGCGTCGGCCTGCGGTCCAGAGACCCGGGTTCGGTTCCCGCTAAGGGCACGTACCTCGGTTACAGTTTGTCCCCGGCCCTGGTTGGTCGTGTGGGTGGCAGCCACTCGATGTGTCTCTTCACATCGATGTTTCTCTCTCTCTCTCTTCCTCTCTCTCCCTCCCACTCTACCTGAACAAAAAATGGAAAAATGTCCTCGGGTGAGGATAAAAAAAAAAAAAAAAGATATTCTGTTTGGTTGTAGGTTGCATAAAAGGAGTAAACACTAAGTAGATTTTGCCACAGAATGACTTTGAAAAGTCAAAACTATGGTGAGGCCGCAGAGGTGGTCTAGGATGAATTCTGTTTCTTCATTACCCTCTTTGCTCTCTTTCTTTGCTGGGAGCTGTGATTCACACCGTTCATGGAGCCCTATTATTCCCTAACACAAACAGAGCTCCAATATTAATCTTTTCTTCATCTAACAAGGCCATCTCTCTAAAGTCTGTGATGGTAATTGATTGCGATACTAATGGACATTAGTCATTCACTAATCCCACATATGATTTAAAATGGTGGTACTGCCTTGGCTGGTTTGGCTCACTGGTTAGAGTGTTGGTCCAAGGACTGAAGAGTTGAGGGTTCAATTCCCAGTCCAGGGCACATACCTGGGTTGCAGGTTTGACCCCTGGCCCCGATCGGAGTCATGTGGGAAGCAACTAATTCATGTGACTCTCTTGCATAGATGTTTCTCTCTCTCTTTCTCCCTTCTACTATAAACATTGATGGAAAAATATTTTCAAGTGAGAATTAACAAAAAAGTAATAATAATAATAATAAAATAAAAAAATAAAACAATAGTATTTATGTATCATCTGAGAATCCCTGGAGTCCTAAGATTCACTGGTTCAGGAGGTCCAAAAGGTCAAGACTATTTTCATAGTAATACTAAATGTTACTTGTCATGTTCACTGTCAGTCTCTTATAAGTGTACAAGTAGAGTTTTCCACAGAGGATTTTTTAAAATCCTCACCCGAGGATATTTTTTCATTGACTTTTAGAGAGCATGAAAAGGAGGAGGGAAGACAGAAAGAAACATCAATGTGACAGAGACACACATCGACTGGTTGCCTCCTATACAGACCCCAACCAGGACCTGGGATCCCACCTGCAACCAGATATATGCCCTTGATTGGAAATCAAACTTGTAACCCTTTGGTGCATGGGCTTATGCTCTAACCACTAAGCAAGATTAGCCAGGGCATGAAATTCTCAATAATTTTTAATACTGTAAAAGGATTCTAAGGTCAAAAAGTTTCAGAATTTCTGTTTTAAAAGGTTGTGTTTATTAAACATTCGCTATGCGTAATTACTTCCCACATTCTTAATACTCAAAGACACCATAAACACACACACGCACACACACATGCACGTACCCATACACAGAGTCTGCTAATCAAAACATTTGGTTTGCTTAAGATCGTCAGTGTAACAACACTAAGATGAAATAAAAGTAAAACACTACTGACATGTTAGCAGCTGAAGCTTTACTCTAAGTAAAGGTAAGAATTCAAATAACCATTTTAAAACAGTATGAATATCTCTGAGAATCCCTAGTAAGTACAGGGAATCCAAACTGAGAACTTTAGGATATCATAACAAAAGTAAACCCTGGCCAATGTGGCTTCATGGTTAGAGTGTTGGCCTACACACTGAAGTGAGTGGGTTTGATGCCCTGTCAATGGCACGTACCTGGGTTAGAAGTTCAATCCCCAGCCCTGGTCAGGGAGGCAACCCATTGATGTGTGTGTCTCTCTCTCCTCACCTTCCTCCCTTCCACTCTCTCTAAATATATATAAATATATATAAATGTATCTCAATGAAAAATTTACCCTCAGGTGAGAACTAACAAAATGGAAAGCAAACAAACAAAAAAGGTGAAAATATTTTTCTTAGAGCTTACATTTTTAAATTTCTGTAATTTCTCTTTTTCAAACATGAATACCAACAATGACATCTACATTACTTATGTAAAATCCTACAATTAAACTTGCAAAGAAAAAAAGGAATTAGGAATAAAAAGACTATGAGCACGTAAAATATGTCCGTGTATTTCTTTCTAGAGTTAAATACAAGATCCAGAATTCACCTGATCTGGATGCTGTTATGTCCTTCACGCCTACTGCTCTGTTAGGAACAGGATCTTTCACCACAAGGGTAGGCTGAATGGGGTTTGAAAGAAGATGATTAATAAATATTGTACATTTTATATAATCTTTAATACTTAAATATAAAAATATAAATGTTATTACCTTCGAGTGAGAATATTTTTCAGGAGAATCTAAAGAGCAAAGAGACATATACTCAGTTACATAAAAATATGAAAGCCAACTACATACATTCATGCAGAGTTAGTATGGAGCTGAATCCTCATGCTTGGATTTGGAAATGATTAATTAGGTCTATTAGTGTTTTGTTTTGTTTTTCTCAGGGGGCAGGCGTTTAGGACACCAACTAGACAGAAATATAAATCCACTATAAATACTGAAGAAAAAACAGGAATATAGTTTTAACAAAACATGCAGTTGAGATTTTAAAAGATTATGTTTCAAAAACTATACTAAAGTAAAAAAGTATACATATACCAATGTGAACATAATGCTTAATGGTAAAAAAGTGATCTTTATTCAGAGGAACAAACTGTGACACTGAGAGAATAAATGTAAAACAGAACACAACAGCTATCTTTGATGCAACACATGAGAATTACTAGTACCACTATGTTACAAGTATTTATCATGTTCTTTCATCTGTCTTGTAATTTATGAAGCACACAATTGTGATGACATTTCAGTTGAATGCATAATCCATGTATAAACAGAGAACATGTTATGAATTGATCAGCTTAGATAAACATCAATAGAATAACAGTTAATAAAAATATTCATTTTTTTCATACCAATGCAGGCTACTGGTATGCCTATATTTCTTGCATCCTCTACTTTAGTCATCTTACAGTTTCTTGATCCATTCATGCAAGAAGGTATATAAAACACATCTAAGAAATAATGTAAAATGAGCTTTCAATATTGAAATATGGCTACTAAAGTTAAAAAGAATTATTTTATTTCTAAATCTGTGTAATAGATACTGAAAATAACAATTACAGCACTTAAAGAATAAACTCTAATTTTTTCTTCTTTCCAAAATCAGTTTGGTGTATTATGCTAGTGTTTAAATGAGTTTTATAAAACAGCTATCTTATCAAAACCTGAGCTACCATAAAAACAAACAATCAAACAAACAAAAAAACAGAACAGCAGCCAAGGCTTCTATATTCAACTTACTCTCACTGAAATAACACATACCTGTGTAACATATCTTTGCTGCCTGAAATGGAAGATAAACCAGGAGCTAGAGTTACCCCAATTCTAGCACCACCCCTGCTTCCAGTATTCTCTGGAGCAGCAAGGATCTAATCTTCTGTTTCACTGCCAATATCCTCAAGTCACCTAAAGTGAGGTCTCTCAGGTTTCCTCAACTCCAAAATTACCTTAGCTAATGCCTTTCTATCCTCCCTTTTTCTCTTCACTACCCCCTTTTCCTCTTCAAAAGTAATTTCTAGATCTGTGGCCTTCATTCTTCCCCTTTTTCCCTCACTGTGCCTTATCCCACCACTTTTTCTCCCTGTTTAGCAGTGGTATCTTATATTTATACTTTCTTTTTCTTCATCTCTTTTGCTCCCCTTTGGCTATAGACATGCTCAGAAATGAAAACAAAATAATATAGACATGCTTTTGCTTAATCCTTTCATGTCTTAAATTATCTATCTGACAGCTCTTCGACATTTCTCTGAAGAGAAGTCTAGACCCTCTCTACACTGAGTAGCACAGTCTAAGGACCAGTAACATTGGGGCCACCCAAGAGCTTGTGAGAAATGCAGAATACTGGGCCTACTGCTATTATTTCTTTAAAATTGAAACTGCATTAATTCATAAAGTTTCTATTGGACTTTTCATCAGGCTATAGTTTCCTTCTCTCACCATAACTGACCCTGCTGTCTCCTTCTTTCAAATGTTCTTATTTTGGACTATATAATACTAACCTATGAAGTAGCAAAATTTTATATGATGTCAGGGTATAGATGCTTATAGCTGGCCACATACACTTCTGCTCATCCCTGGGAGATGAAATACAGCTCCACCTGATAGATACCTCAGTCCATAAGGCCTTCCCAACAGAGAGGAAAGAGTAAGAGTAGGAACATTTTGCTGGACACCCCTGACAAGTTTTGGTACTGGAAGCTCTGATTATATTCCTCCCACATTTCAAATACTCTGTTCTTCCTTTTTCTAAAGAATTATTGTATCACCTCCCACTACATATATCTGCTTCTTTTTCCTTCATTTACTTCTGTAATTTCTGCCCTTCTCAATCTTCACTCCCTATTTAATCCTTCTCCTCCTCCTTATATCCTGACTTAAGTCAGGTCTTAGAGTATCTTGAAAGGAAACAAATAATTGAGCTCCTGCAGTAGCACTCTCAATTTAATCTTAGTTGATACCTGGTAAGATTTACAACTTATCTGCTTTTTATTTCTTTTCTTACTAGGCATTTCACAGGTGATTTTCTTTGGCTATTAGAATATGTAAGTATTCATGTTTTAAATCAACATTCTATCAAAGAACTTCTTTATAAAACACAGTTCTTACCTTCTACTTGTCCATTTAGTTTATTTTTTTCTCTTTGATCTGCAGCTACAGATAAATAATCAACATACTTCTGTGGAAGACCTTCAGAGGAACTCTGTTAAAATTTATATCAATAATGAGTTACATATGCCCAGCTGGTGTGGCTCACTGGTTAAGTATCCACCCATGCACCAAGAGGTCACTGGTTTGATTCCCAGTCAGGGCACATGCCCAGGTTATTGGCTCGATTCCCAGTGGGGGGCATGCAGAAGGCATCCAATCGATGTTCTCTCTCATCGATGTTTCTATCTCTCTCTTCCTCTCCCTTCCTCTCTATAAAATCAACAAAGAAAAAATGATAATAAAAAATAAAAATAATGAGTTACATAAAGATTTTTTAAGCCCTTTCTAAAACAATATCTCAATTTCTTACTTTAAAAGCAATTAGACTTAAAAATAAGAAAAGCATGTGTTGACCCAAACATTTAAATAGAAAACCCCCTATATGCTTTCTAGTTAGGTTTTCTTTTATCTTCATTTGGCTACTGACTGTATATTGAGCATGGAAAGACAGAGAAAAACTTTCATAAACAAAATACTGATGTATGTGCACATTCAACAAGAAACTAACTGCAAAACACCTATCTCTACTTTGCATTCCCCACCAAAATAAGAGGACATTTTGAAAAATACCTTATAAAAATGTATTCAATAAGTGCACTTGTGCCCTGGCTAGTTTAGCTCAGTGATTAGAGTGTCAGCCCGTAAACCAGAGTCCCAGGATCGGTTCCTGCTAGGGGCATGTACCTTGGTTGCAGTTAGTCCTGGGCCCCAGTTTGGGTCATGTGGGTGGCAACCAGTCGATGTATCTCTCTCACATTGATCTCTCTCTCTCCCTCCCTCCCTCCCACTTTATCTAAAAATAAATGCAAAAAAAAGTCCTCGGGTGAGGATAAAGAAAACAAACAAAAACAACAACAACAAAAATAAGTACACTTGCTATAAATTTAAAATATTTCTAATGACAGAATTCTTGTTAGTGTTATAAAAAGATACCTGACATGTAGAAAATGTTGGAGTGTGTTGTGTTGCGTATAAACAGAACACTGTGGAACTTGCTTCACTTAGGCACTCTAGGGTTTAGACAAAGCTATTATTTGATTAAAATTTTCATAGTTAAAAAATGATTGATAAAATGGCAAAAAAGTAAGATAAAACTTTTTAAAAATTATATTTAAATAATTGCAAAAAATGTATATACTGTTATACAAATCTTCAAAGAATTATTGTAGGCTTTAATAAGAGAAGAGTAAGAACATGTATTTATTAACCATCTAAAATGTGCCAGGCATTCATTATGCACATTTTGTTTCTTTTCTACACACAACAGAAGTAAAAATGGTATGATAATGGCTACCCAGCTTTCTGCACATTCCAAAATGTTAGAGCAAAATAAGAATAGATGAGATGTATTGTTCTCTCTGTCCCATTGTATTCTTCTCCTGGACCTTCACATGACTGGCTCCTTTACTTGGCAGCTCTTGTCACACTCACAAAGATCTTTTCTGACCACTTAAATTTCATTCCCAGTCCCATTCTAACTATAAACTCCCCCAGTATTCTCCAACCTAACATTCTCCATTTTCTTTTTATGAAGCACTTACATTGACTTATAATGAACTTTTGTTTACTTGTTTTTCTATTCCCCCACTCACTTCAGCCCAACTCCTCAACTTGTACATTGAGTCTAACTGCCCAGCACGTAGTTGCTCTTCAATAACAGAAATTTGCCCAGCCAGTGTGGCTCAGTGAATTGAGAGTCATCCCATGGACTGAGCGATCTCAGTTCGATTCCCAGTCAGGGCACATGCCCAGGTTTCAGGCTCAGACTCCAGTAGGGGGTGACAGGAGGCAGCTGTTAGATGTTCCTCTCTCATATTCATGTTTCTATCTCTCTCTCTTCATTTCTCTCTCTCTAAAATATCAATAAAAACATATTTAAAAAAATAAATGACAGCCCTGGACGGTTTTTCTCAGTGGTTAGAGCATAGACCTGCGGTCCAGAGAGACTCGGGTTTGGTTCCCATTAAAGGCACATACCTGGGTTACAGTTTGTCCCTGGCCCTATTTGGTCATGTGGGTGGCAGCCATTTGATGTGTCCCTTTCACGTCGATGTTTCTCTCTCTCTCTCTCTCTCTCTCCTTCCCACTCTACCTGAACAAAAATGGAAAAATGCCCTCAGGTGAGAATTAAAAATGAATGAATGAATGAATGAATAAATAAATAAATGACAGAAATTTACTTAAGGTCAAAACATGTAGGATCTCATCAAGAAGGTCTCAGGTACCAAAGCAGTGCATTCCTACAGGATATGTCCATTAACAGTCTACAAAAATGTAACATCCTCCAAATTAGAAATCCACATACCCTTTCTAACGTCCTCATTTTTTTCCTTTATACCACTGCCATTTTATTGTCCTTTAGGTTTACAAAGTGTCCTCAATATTTAGTAAGTCACTGAATATACTGTGATCACTGTGTCTTACTTTTCCATGGCACCTTTTACAATTTACAAAGGGTTTTCACACTGTTACCAGATTTGTTTATCACACATACATGAAAGGTTAGCATTATTATTAATTAATTTACTGACATTCCAAAAGGTTAAACAGGTTTTCCCAAGATCCCATGGCTAGTAAGAAACTGGTCCAGGATTGCTAGAATGATCTTAGACTTCAAGCACAGTGTTTGTACTGTTAGGAAGCAGATGCCTGTATCCAAGACATCAGACCCTTCACATCCATTTCCAGAGCTGTCAGGTTAGATCAGCTCATCATGTCTTTATACTCATGCTACTACAAGTATGGTTGCTATACCATACTTGGTTACAAGTAAGGTACTAATGCATGCTGTTTTAACCATCCAAAACAGCTGTTACTTATCAAAATACCACTAGGTCAAATTCTACATATTTATTATTATTCACTATGCTTTTCTTTCTCTGAAAATGTTCCTTGAAGATCTATTTGACAACCCAAATAGAACAATACTTTGAAGTCCCAGGCATTATCTTTCCAAGTGACAAGTTATAAAAAAACATCTGACCACAGAAGTTGGCCTGAAATAATTCTCTAGTTTTTAGATAAACTTAACTTCAGAACCCAAACTTATATTTATGACTTCAAAGTATTTTATAATATACTACACTGATTTAATTAAGTGAGTCTTACAAATGATCAGAATTGTACTATGAAGTATTATACAGGGTGGGACAAAAGAAGGTTTACAGTTGTAAGTATGTGAAAAAGTTTATTCTTGTATTATTATTTATTAATTATTATATTATTTTCCATATGAACAACTGCAAACCTCTTTTGCTCCCCCCTGTAATTAGCACATAGTTATTTTATTAATTTCAGGTTAAAAACATAAGAAAATAATTTCTATGGGCAAATGTAGAGGTGAGAAATAAAGTCAAAGCATCCCTTTTATGTTTTAATATTATCAATGCTGATACTTAAAATAATAATAGAATAACAATAAATAGTACCTCAGAATCCCAAGGTGATTCTATATCTTCATCCTCTCCTAATCCTAATGCTGAAATGTTATCTACAAATGTAGTTACAGATACATTAATGTAAATATTTTTTACTATGAGTTTTAAATACATGTACAGACATCTTCATTTATGCATATTTTGATAAAATAAAAGTAATAGCAGACAAAATTTTCAGAGGGTTAAAACATTTGTAGAAAGAAAAAGATGATAGCAGTTGGGATACTTTTGGATAAAGATAGTAAAAAAAATACTTTAACAAATGAATAACATATTTGGATCTATTCAAATTAGATTTGTTTATACCAGCATTTAAGCATAGAAAAAAATTCATAGGTAGTCACTAACTTACCACTATTATTTTTGTGTTCTCCATCAACATAAATCAAATTTTCATTATTTGTTTGGTTTTGTAGAGCGCTTTCAATATCAATACCACTTTCTTTTTTTTTAATTGCTGGCTTTGTTGCTTCTTCCTATAAAAACAAAGCAAAAGAAAAACCTAACTTTAGAAAATATCATATTCATTCAATTGTTCAGTCACTCACTCAATCAGTAAGACACCAAACATTTACTGTACCTATCAAATCATAAGCACTAACCTGGGAGAAGCTAGAAATATAAATAAAAATATTTGCCCTATATTCTAGAAGGGGTAAAGGTATGTGAAAACAGTAAGAAAAGTATCACTGGCTAGTTCTACAACTGAAGTGAATAAACTACAGTAAGGGCACACAGGAGACAACAGTCTGGTGTACCTGGCATGCTTAAGAAATGGTAGGGATACATCTTGAAAGATATACTAAGTGCAGAGGGAGGATGTGAAGTGCATTCTAGAAAGGGCAGCACAATGCCGTGGCTGGTTTTGCTTAGTGGTTAAAGCATTGGCCTGTGGTCCAGAGAGACCCAGGTTCGGTTCCTGCTAAGGGCATGTACCTCGGTTGCAGTTTGTCCCCAGCCCCAGTTGGGGTTGTGTGGATGGCAACCACTCAATGTGTCTCTCTCACATCAGTGTTTCTCTCTCTCTCTCTCTCTCTGTCTCCTTCCCTTCCTTTCTCCCTCCTGCTTTATCTGAATATAAGTGCAAAAAAAATGTCCTTGGGTGAGGATAAAAAAAAAATTGTAACAGGTAGAAAACATTAAACTTGGTGAATGACTGGATGTGGTGATTTCAGGGAGAGTTGGAGTTCAGGATTATTCATGCCTCAGTGTTTCCATGCTGCTGTTTACGAGGATGGGAACACAGATGGCAAAGTAGGTTGCATTGAGCCAAGACAGAGGAAAGAGTCAGGGCAATACCAAGTTTGAGGAACCCAGGGGACTTAGAAGAAAGATCTAGATAAATACACTTAAAGTAAAAATAGATAACCTTATTCAGGAAAAGCATATGATGTCAAGAAGATAGATATTTGTAAAATATACCAAAATGATATAATTCAATAATGCAATCCTACACAGACTTCTGAAATTTTGAAAATAAAAACAAGAGTAAGGGGTAAAAACAACACGGGATTCAAATTTTCAATTATACATTTCAAAATTTGCTTCAGAAATCAAAAATACCTTATTACAAATATTTGGAAATATTTCTGGGATATTTTAATAATAAACATTTTAAGTTTAATGAAAATATTTAATGGTATAACATCACTTCACAATAATTTTAGAAGACTCCTTTTTAAAAATTAATTTTAAAAGGCAAGTTTTAAATTATAGAAGAGAAATGCTTATGTGATTATAGAATTATGAGGCATTTTTAAGTACCACTGTGATATTTCAAAGAAATATAAAACACTATTTTAAAAGTCACATGGTTTTCTCCTGCCAACAGCACACGAATGGCTTTAATTGCCTGTCTACTCTACATAGGATGGTAGTTAAAAGATGTATAAAAAAAATCTAATATAAAACTATGATTATCCAAGTCAAAGATTTAAGTCTTCAAGTACATCTGTGATTATCAAGGAGGACCAAATGAAAGAAGAACTAAAAAAACCAAGTCACCAGGATGTCTGAGATTTAGATATGAAAGAATTGTCAAGTTAGGTTTAACAACTATGAAGACCAAAGTTAATAAAGGTTCTTAAAAATAATATAAAATGCACCCATTGTGGGAGATATCTTAAAAAGTAAAAATTAGCCTTAGCCAGTTTGGCTCAGTGGTTAGAGCATCGGACTGTGGTCCGGAGAGACCCAGGTTCAGTTCCCACTAAGGACATGTACCTCAGTTGCAGTTTGTCCCGGGCTCTGGTTGGGTCATGTAGGTGGCAACCACTCGATGTGTCCCTTTCAGGTCGATGTTTTTTTCTCTCTCTCTCCCTCTCACTCTATCTGAACAAAATATCAAAAAATGTTCTTGGGTGAGGACAAAAAAAAAAAAAGTAAAAATCATTTTTCAGAAGTAATTTTATATACTCTGTTGGTAATCTTTTTTTTATTATTTTTATAATAGCAAGCATTTTGTATCAGAAACAAAATCATAAATTGTGATTTCATCCATTTGATGTGTGCATATGTGTCCATTAATTGCAGATATTATTAGGAAAAGAAAAATCAGAATCTCTAGCTCCAAGGGCTAGGTGAGCTGCCCACAGTCTTGCAGCTAGCAGGTGGTACAGCGTGGGCTGAAGCCCAGGCTGCCCGTCTCCCAAGCCCATGCTGGAACAATATTTTGCTCTGCTGTTCCTCTCTCTCCCTGCTCCTATTTCACACCTTCCTGTTTTGTTCCCTCTTGTCCCTCATTACTGAACAAGCCCTAAAGTGAAGCACTGAGACAGACACTCAGAGAGCAGAGAGAGGGAGCCTGTTGTAGTCTGTGTGCCCTCTCAGCCCCGCTCAGTCTGACCCTGCCCTGGAGAAGACCACAGACAAGAGCTTGGAGACATTCTCTATATCATTGTTCATAATGTCAAAATAACTGGCTGTTCATCCATAGGGAACTGAATAAATAACTTATGTGACTTCTGCATAATATAAATCTTTGTGGCCACTGCAGCAAACCAAGTTGCTGCTTAGAAAACAATGTTAACTGACATGTATTAAATGAGCCCATTTTATGGTTTAAAAATGTAAAACATGATCTGATCTTAAGAAAAATTATTTTAGCTTTTCCCATTAAGCATGATGTTAGCTCTGGGTTTCTCCTATATGGTTTTTATGCTGAGGTAGATTTTCTCTACTCTACTTTACTGAGAATTTTTATCATAACTGGATGCTAGATTTTATCAAATGCTTTTACTGCATCTATTAATATGATCATATGATTTATTCTTTCTTTTGTTTATTTGTTATATAACATGATAATTGATTTCTAGATATTGAATCAATGTTGCATCCGAGGAATAAATCCCATTTGACCATGGTGTATAATCTTTTTTAATGTACTGCTAATTTTGATTTGCTAATCTTTTATTGAGGATTTTTGCATCTATGTTTATCATAAATACTGGCCTATAATTTCCCTTTTTTGTAATGTCTTTGTCTAGTTTTGGAGTCAGAATAATGCTGGCATTGTAAAATGAGCTTGGGAGCCTTCCTGTCTTTTGAATTATTTGGAATAGTTTCAGAAGGAAAGGTGTTAATTGTTGAGTGTATGGTAAAATTTACCTGTAAAGTCATCTATTCTAAGACTTTTATTTGTTGAGAGATTTTGGTACTGATTCAATTTTGTTGGTAGTAATCCATTTGTTCAGATTTTCTATTTCTTCCTCTTTTTTTTATTCTCACTTGAGGATATTTTTTAACTTGTCTTCAAACAGAGTAGAAGGGAGGAAGAGAGGGAGACAGAGACAGAGAGAGAAAGAAACATCAATGCAGGAGAGACACATTGACTGGTTGCCTTCCAGAAGACCCCAACCAGAGCCACGGACAAACCGCAACAAAGGTACATGCCCTTGGCTGGAATCAAACCCTGGTCTCATTGGTCCGTGGGCCGATGCTCTAACTGCTGAGCCAAACTAGCCAGGTCTTCTATTTCTTCTTGATTCAGTTTGGTGAGATTTTTTGTTTCTAGGAATTTGTCGATTTCTTCGAGATTGTCCAATTTATTGGCATATAATTGTTCTTGTATTTTCTCATAACCTTTTATATTTCTGTGATATCAGTTGCCACTTCTCTTTCATTTGTGATTTTATTTCTTTGGGTCTTCTCTTTTTTTTTAATGAGTCTAGTTAAAGGTGTATCAATCTTATTTATCCTATCAAAGAACTAGCTCTTTGTTTCATTGATTTTTTTTTTTTTTTTAGATTGTACTTCATTTATTTCCACTTTGATGTTCATTATTTCCTTTCTCCTACTCACTTTTGGCTTTGCTTATTGTTTTTTATCTGGTCCCATTAGGTGTAAAGTTTAATTGTTTGAGTTTTTTTTTTGTTTCTTATGGTAGGCCTGTATTGCTGTGAATTTTCATTGGCCTCAATATATCTTTTTTTTCTCTTTGCTAACCCATTCATTGTTTAGTAGAATGTTATTTAGCCTCCATGTGTTCATGTGTTTTTCAGTTTTTCTCTTGTAATTTATGGTTGGAGAATATGCTTGATATAATTTCAACCTTTTAAAACTTATTTAGACTTGTTTTGTGGCCTACAATGTGGTCTATCTTGGAAAATGTTCCATGTGCACTTATAAAAAATGTATAACCTACTCATTTGGGGTAAAATGCTCTAAAAATATCAACTAAATCTCTGGTCTAATGTATCATTTAAGGCTGCTGTTACCTTGTAGATTTTCTGTTGGGAAGATCTATCCATTGATGTCAATGGGGTATTAAAGTTCCCTCCTATGACTGAATTAATATTAACCTCTCTATTTATGTCTATGATGATTTGCTTTGTATAATTAGATGCTCCTATGTAGAATGCATAAATGTTTACAAAAAATATATCTTTTTTTTTTCATTGATCTCTGTTATTATTTAATGTCCCTTCTTATCTCTTCTTATAGCATTTTTGTTAAAGTCCACTTTCACCACTTTAACCAACATAGTATTAGAAGTCCTAGCCAGCAATCAGACAAGAAAAGAAATAAAAGGCATTCAAATAAGAAAGGAAGAAGTAATATGGCATAATATTATAGTATATAAAAACCCTAAACAATTCCACCAAAAACCTACTAAGACTGATGAATGAATTCAGTAATATAGCAGAATAAAAATGTACAGTAATCAGCTGCATTTTTATACACCAATAATAAACTACCAAAAAAAAAAAGTAAATAAGAAAACAAGCCCATTTGCAATTGCATGGAAAAGAAATAACATAAATATCTAGAAATAAATTTAACAAAGGAGATAAAAGACCTGTACTCAAAAAGTTTTTAGACATTGAAGAGAAAAACTCTTGAAGATATAAATAAATGCAAGCATATGCCATGCTCATGAATAGAAATAACTAATATCATTAAAATGTCCAGACTACCCAAAACAATCTACAGATCCAACACAGTCCCTATCAAAATATCAATGTATTTTTACAGAACTAAAACAAATAATCTTAAATTTTATATGGAGCCACAAAAGACCTTCAACAGACACAGCAATCTTAAGGAAGAAGAACAAAGTTGGAGGTATCATGCTACTTGATATCAAATTATACTATACTATAAAGTTAGAGTAATTAAAACAACATGGTACTCACATAACAACAGACACATAGACCAAAGGACCAGAATAGAGAACCCAGAAATAAAACCATGCCTACATGGTCAGTTAATACGTAAAAGGAAAGCAAGAATATACAATGAAGAGAAGTCAATCTCTTCAATAAATGGTGTTGAGAAAATTGAACAGATATATGTAAAAAAAAAAGAAAACTATACCACCTTCTTATACCATATATGAGAATAAACTCAATATGATCCGGCCGGTATGGCTCAGTGGTTGAGCATCGACCCATGCACCAGGAGGTCACCGGTTCAATTCCTGGTCAGGATACATGACCATGTTGTGGGCCCAATCCCCAGTTGGGGGCATACAGGAGGCGGCTATTGATGTTTCTATCTCTCATTAATGTTTCTATCTCTCTCTTCCTTTCACTTCCTCTCTCTCTAAAATCAATAAAGGGAAATTTTTTTTTAATCTATTAAAAAAAATAGAAGAATAAACTCAGTATGGATTAACAACTTACCTATAAGACCTGAAACCATAAAACTTTTAGAAAAAAATATAGGCGATAAGTTTTGACATTTCTCTTAGTAATATTTTTTCCTGATTATAGCTCCTCAGACAAGGGAAATAAAATGAAAACAAACAAATGAAACTACAAGTAAAATGTTATGTACGGCAAGAAAAATCATGAAAACAAAATGACAACCTACCAAATGAAAGAACATATTAACTAATAATACATCTGCTAAGGGGTTAATATCCAAAATTTATAAACAACTCATACAACACCCTCTAACCCCAAAATACACAAATAATCTAAACAAAAATGGGCAGAAAATGCCCTAGCCAGTTTGTCTCAGTGGTTAGAACATTGGCCCATGGACCAGAGGGTTGCAGGTTTGATTCCCAGTAAAGGGCATGTGCCTGGGTTGCATGTTCAATCCCTGGCAGGTCAGGATAGTGGGGGAGGCAACCTGTCGATGTCTCTCTCACATCAATGTTTCTCTCTCTCTCTCCTTCCACCCCTCTCTTTCACTCTATCTAAAAATCAGTGGAGCCCTGATCAGTTTTGTTCAGCAGTTAGAGCATTGGCCTGCGGACCAGAGAGTCCCTGGTTCAGTTTCCAATAAGGGCATGTGCCTCAGTTGTGGTTTGTCCCCAGCCCTGGTTGGGGTTGTATGGGTGGTGACTAGTCGATGTGTCTCTCACATCAATGTTTTTCTCTCTCTCTCTCTCTCTTCCTCCTCTCTCCCTCCCACTGTATCTGAAAATAAATGCAAAAAGGTCCTTGGGTAAGAATAAAAACAAAAAAACATTAATGAAAAAATATACTCAGGTGAGGATTAGCCAAAAAAGAAAAAAAAAGCAGATAACAAGATGGAAAACAGACCTATGAAAAGATGCTCAATATCACTAATTATCAGAGAAATGCAAATTAAGACCACAATGAGAAATCACCTAACACCTGTCAGCATGGCTATCATCAAGTAAATCAACAAACAACAACTGTTGGTTAGAATATGAAGAAAGGGAACCCTTAAGCACTGTTGTTGGGATTGCAAATTGGTGTAGCCCCTATGGAAACAGTGTGGAGTTTCCTTAAAAAATTAAAACTAGAACTACCATATGACCAGCAATTCCACTCCTGGGACTATATTTCTAAAATCCAAAACACTAATTTGAAAAGATATATGCACCCCTATGTTTACTGCAGCATTACTTACAATAGCCAAGATATGGAAGCAAGTCAAGTATTTATCAATAGACAGTAAGAGCCCTGGCCAGTTTGGCTCAGTGGTTGGAGCATTGGCCTGTGGACCAGAGTGTCTCAGGTTTAGTTCTCGCTAAGGGCATGTACCTCGGTTGCAGTTTGTCCCTGGCCCTGGTTGGGGTCATGTGGGTGGCAACCACTCAATGTGTCTCTCTCACATCGATGTCTCTCTCTCTCTCTCTTCCTCCCTCTCTCCCTCCCACTCTATCTGAAGATAAGGGCAAAAAATGTCCTCGGGAGAAGATAAAAAAAAAAATAGACAATAAGAGTAATACTTTTTAAATTTAGGAGCATTTTAGTTTAAAATTTATTTCTCATTTAATGAACAGAGATTAATAACCTCATTTACATAATCATAATTTTAAACTTTAATTAATAAAAAACTAAATAAGAACCCTGGCTAGTGTTGCTTAGTGGTTAAAGTGTCGGCCTGCAGTCCAGAGAGACCTGGGTTTGTTTCCTGCTAAGGGCATGTACCTCAGTTGCAGTTTGTCCCTGGCCCTGGTTGGGTCATGCGGGTGGCAGCCACTCGATGTGTCCCTTTTACATCAATGTTTCTCTCTCTCTCTCTCTTCCTCTCTCTCCCTCTCACTCTATCTGAACAAACAAATGCTGAACAAACAAATGGAAAAATGTTCTCAGGTGATGATAAAAAAAAAAACTAAATAAGATATTTATTTTCTCTCTTTACCCACAAAAAAATCTAAAACACTTAACCAGATTATACCAAACAATAAGATAAGTTCATTTAGAAAGTTAAGTATATACCAAACAGGAAGATGTTAGAAACAACAGAAACAAAGAGCCAAATATTTGTAATTCATAACTCTGATGAAGTTAAAACAAATTTTATTTTTTATTTTCTTGCATTTATCTTTAGAGTGGGAGGGAGAGAGGGAGGAAAAGAGAGAGAAAAACACTGATATGAGAGAGACACATCGAGTGGGTGCCATCCACATGACCCCAACTGGGGTTGGGGACAAACTGCAACTGAGGTAAATGCCCTTAGTGGGAACCGAACCCGGGACTCTCTGGTCAGCGGGTGAACACTCTAACCACTGAGCCAAAGCAACCGGGGCTTAAAACAGATTTTAATTTACATTATTTATGAACATAGGTTTTGCTAGGTAAAATATAAAATGTCAATTTATTAAACTTAAAAGTGAGGATTAAAAAGAAAACTTCAAATTAAAACTTTAATAACCCAACAAAAGAATTAACTTTTTCTTCAGTTCTTAATTTGCATTAATAAATATTTCTATTGTATTTGATAATATATTGAGTTCCTGCCCTTATTTAAGCCCCTGTTTCTGTTGAGTCTTTATAATAATTTCAACATATTGACTCTTTTATTAAATCTTTATTTTCTCCTTGCCCTGCTTAAATGAATGTTTTTTCCTTCATCCCCTTCATTATCTTCACATTCATCTACCTATTCCTTCTAGTTGCTTTCTAATTTTTTCATTGCATTATTGCATATGTAAGAACTGTCTACAGCCACTAACCTGTATAAATCCCAATTCTGTATACACTGCCCTTCATTTTTTTTTTTTTTTTTAATCCTCACCCGAGGACATTTTTCCATTTTTTGTTCAGCTAGAGCGGGAGGGAGAGAAAGGAAGAGAGAGAGAGAGAGAGAAACATCGATGTGAAGGGACACATCGAGTGGCTGCCACCCGCACGACCAACCAAGGCCAGGGACAAACTGCAACCGAGGTACATGCCCTTAGCGGGAACCAAACCCAGGTCTCTCTGTACCGCAGGCCGATGCTCCAACCGCTGAGCCAAACCGGCCAGGGCTACACTGCCCTTCTTAAATACTTGTTTTCTATTATGATCTTGAGGATTTCCATTTCTTTCTAGGATCCTTTTCATTACTATAAGGATCAGGGGGATGGTATGTAAAAAATCATGGGAAAAAAACTTTTAAAATAAACCAAAACAACTTACCTTTGTAAGACCAATGACTGTTGAAGACATGGAAGAAGCTTTTAGAAGAGGTTCAAGTGATGAAAAGGCACCTTGAGAAAAGCCCTGGAGTTTTTCTGATGTGTTGGGAAGGGTGTCTACCACATCTTCATTTTCACTATGAAAATTATTGTCCTCATATGAGGTCCTATTTTCCGGTCTCACAATGGCATATTTTGCTTCTACTACAGTAAAACAAAGTAAACAATACATGAAAATATCTGTAACTTCAAATCAGTGAATAACACAAGAACAGAGGTCATTTAGATAGCTTACTGTTTTTCTGAGATTGTTGAATAGCAGTCATTAGCTTTGCTAAGCTTGGCTTCATGAAATTCTAGAAAAAAATTATATCTTTATCAAATTTGATCACAATAATGATAATATTCACCACTACTATGTATCTCACACAAAAATAAAATTCAGATGTAGAGTTGTATCCCAGTTCTGCCATTTACTAACCTACATCTTCCCATGGGGTGAGGATTATGAGAAATAACAGTAAGCCCCAAAATATTACCTTTTTACCCTTACATGAACATTTTCCAAATACTTTAATATCTATTAGATTATAAAATTCATTTCTATGTAATTTAGCATACTACTGCAAAAAACTAACATTTAGAAATTTAAATTACTTATTTGTTATATTTTGCAATGCATTTGCATGATTTATACTTACATAAATTATCTCTTATAGGGAAAAGTATAAGAGTTTAGTTTTTAGTATTATCTTATTTAGATGGGTTGGAATTGCAAACAGTATGAAGTTGCTTCTATTCTGCTTATTTGAAAAAAGCTAAAAAGAAATTATTGTTTAAATCCAGTTCTCTTTAAGAAAGAGAAAAGAAAAAAATAAACCTGGTGGGGAAGGGGGATGATTCATGAATAAAAGCCACATACATATTAAATAGAAAGCCATGAACAAATAAGTTGACAATGGAGACAGAGAGAGGAGGACTAAAAAAATGGACACTGAAGAAATGTTTTCTGCAAAAAAAAAAATTAGACTAATGGTAAATCAGTGGGGAAAAGTGGGGAAGGGAAAGAAAAAAAAGAGAGATATAATTAGTTAATGAAGTATAAGCTCATGACAAGAAAAAATAGGAAAGCAAAATACAATATAATTTGTAGAGAAAAAGATACAGAATTTCTGTATATATGGTCATCCATCGTTTATCATGATTAATCTGTTCCAGACTCTCGCGGTTGCACCTGGCATTGCAGAATTCCTGGGGTGCTTAAATACATAGGCCTACAGTCCATACATATAGTAATTTTAATTTTAATTGTAATACAGTGGTGTATAATTGACTCAGACAACGGAGCACATGCTGTATCATTTTCACTGTCTCGATCAACTTTTTAATGAATATATTTGAAAAAACCATGATAGAGTGAAGCGGCGAAAGTCGAAGCGTGAAGTGGAGAGGGACAACTGTACATTAATAAAGAATCCTACTTCGTGGAAATTCATTTATCACAGTACAGTCGGGAACTGATTAATCGCGATACACGAGGGCCGACTGTATTCCAGAATATGCAAATTTGTTTTCTAACTACCAGTAGCTTATACTGATGCAGGGAATTTAAAATGAGTATTTAAATAACTATAGTAATAAAAATCTAAAATCTGAACGTTTAAAAGGTGATACAAAACTTTGGGTAAATATTTTCAAAGGATATAATACATCTCTGGCTGGTATTGCACAATGGTTAGAGCACTGAAGCACTGACCATGCACCAAAGGTGTTGCAGGTTCAGTTCCTGGTTAAGGGCATGTACCTGGGTTGCAGGTTCATCCCTGGCCCTATTTGGGGCTGGTATGGGAAGCAACCAATTTATGTGTTTCTCACACATCAATGTTTCTCTCTCTCTCCTTTTCTTTCTCTCTGCCTCCCTTACACTCTCTAAAAAAAAAAAAATCAATGAAGAAAGTATCCTCAGATAGGATTAACCAAAAAATATATATATACAAAAATTTCTTTCTTGACTTCTGGTCAAGATGACAGAGTAGGTTAATGCTGTGCAAAACTCCTTCTACAACCACATCAAAATTATAATTAAACTGTAGAATGACCACTCTTGAGAAACACCTGAAGACTAATTGAGCAGAATTATTATTATTTTTTTTATTTCTCACCTGAGGATATTTTTCTACTTATTATCAGATAGAGTGAGAGGGCGGGAGAGAGAGACAGAGAGAAACATTGATGTGATAGGGCCACATCAACTGGTTGCCTACTATATGACCCCAACCAGGGCCGGGGACAAACCGCAACCGAGGTACATGCCCTTGACCAGAATCAAATTTGTGACTTATTGGTCCATGGGCCAGCTGATTCTCTAACTGCTGAGCCAAACAAGTCAGAGTGCTAAGAAAAATTCTTATAACTAAGAATATCATAAAGAAGCCAAGTTAAGACTTGTAAGAGGGGCAAGACATAAAATGGACTGGTCCTACACCCATGTGTGTTTGTTAAGAACCAGAAGGAATATCTCAGCTCTTAATGCTTGAGGTGTTCCAGCACTACACCGGGCTCCCCAGCCCAGAGCACCAGTGCTGGGAAGAGAAGTCCCCACAGCATCTGGCTTTGAAAATCAGTGGGAATTTCACCCAGTGAGATAGAGGACTACTGGAGTCCCAGACATTCCATTTAAAAAGTCCACACACACACACTTACTCACTGATTGATGCACTCACTCTAAGCTCCAGAACTGGGCAGCAGCTTGAAAAGCATCAGGGACATATGAGGAGGAACCGAATGGTCTGGTTTTAGGTCAAGGGCTGGAGGAGAAGCTCTCTCAACCATTCTATTTCTATGTTTAGCCCTCCCCACACAGAGCTGGCAAACACAGGTGAACTCCCAATCTGAATCTCCATCAAAATCCCAACAACCTGGTGATTTTCTGAGAACCCACCACAGCCAATTCTTGCACAGGTCAGAACCTTTCCCTATGGCTGTTATTCACAAACTGTTGGCCTTGGCTCATGCTGTGGACTTCCCTAAAATCTCCCAAAGGTCCACAAACACCAATCAAGCAGCACCTAGCCTTGGCATACCCTATAACTTGCTAAGCAGCCCCAGCCACAAAAATGGCAGCCAGCCTCAGATCACAACAAAGCTTTTCCCAAGATCCTTCAAGCCAAGCACAGGCAGCTACCAACCACAAACCATTCTGAAGTTCCTACCAGGTGTCCCTGGACCAGGCATAAGCAGTAACTGACATGGGACCACACTGGAGCCCTTCCCAAGAAGTCTCAGAACTGACACACCCTGTGAGAAGCTTCAGACCACACCATGGCACTCCCCAATTAGCTCCAAAAATGACAAACCCAAAGGGTAGACTCAGCAGGCACCAGAGCCCTGCAACAGCAAATTTCATTGGTGAGGTTGATCCCCCAACACAACAACTCATCCACTGTAGCCATGACCAGTCATTACAGCCAGTCAGCCTGAAGGTCAATTCCACTCACTTATGTGGCAACAGCATTCAAGGCTCAAGTACAATAGAAGTGACACACAACCCACATAAGGGACCAACAACACCCAGCTTAGGTGACCAGGAATACTACACCACTGGGCCCCACAGAACACCAACTACATGAGGCCACCCTGCCAAACTGAGAGACTTAGTTCTACCTAATACATAGAAACAAACACAGACAGACATTTAAAATGAGGAGACAAAGAAACACATCCCAAATGAAGAAAACAGGAAAAAACTTCAGGAAAGAAAGTAAACAAAATGGAGGCAAGCAATCTATCAGATACAGAGTTCAAAACACTGATTACAAGGATGCTCAATGAATTTAAAAGAAGAACAGGCCCTGGCCGATTTGGCTCAGTGATCAGAACTTCGACCTGCAGACCGGAGAGTCCCAGGTTCCATTTTCACTAGGGGCACATAACTCGGTTACAGTTTGTCCCCAGCCCCGTTTGGGGTTGTGTGGGTGGCAACCAGTCAATGTGTCTCTCTCACATCAATTTTTGTCTCTCTCTCTCTTCCTTCCTCTCTCTCTCCCGCTCTATCTAAAGATAAATGCAAAGATTTCCTCGGTTGAGGATAAAAATAAAATAAAAATTAAAGAAGAATAGATGAACTCGTTGAGAACTTCAACAAAGATAGTAATAAAAAAAGACAGAAATCATTAAAAAATAAATAAAACTAAAGAACAATGACTGCAATAAAGACTACATTAGATGAAATCAACAGCCATTACAGGATGCAGAGGATCAGTTCAGTAATTTGGAAGATAAGGTAGTAGAAAACACCCAATCAACACACACATGCAAAAATATCCAATAAAAATGATGATAGTTTAAGGGACTTCTGGGATGACATCAACCAACCATAAGAACATTAGCATCATATTGGTACCAGAAAGATGAGAGACAGAGCAACAATGAAAACCTATTCATTTAGCATAAGTAAAAGTCATGTTGATATGATTTAAAAGTCACATTAAAAATCCTTACCCTAGCCCTGGCCAGTTTGGCTCAGCAGTTAGAACGTTGTCCCATGGACCAGAGAAACAAGTTTGGTTCCCGCTAAGGGCACATACCTCTGTTGTAGTCTGTCCCCAGCCCCAATGGGGGTCATGTGGGTGGCTACCACTTGTCTCTCTCCCACATCACTATTTCTCTTCCTCTCTTTCTCCCTCTCTCCCTCCTGCTCTATCTGAAAATAAAATGCAAAAATGTCCTCAGGTGAGGATTAAAAAAAAAAAATTCCTTACCCTTAACCAAATTTCACATCTCCTTTTCATGGGAAATTTTTCCCCAATATAATTTTTGTATCACCATATATTTTCCAGCCCCTTTTCTTTTTTCAGCTCCCCATTAAGTACTTACTAAAGTAAAAAAAAAAAAAATTCAACACACCATATTTCTTTTTTTTTTATCATTTTTTATTTTTATCTTTTTATCCTCACCAAAGGACATATTTTTTGCATTTATCTTCAGATAGAGTAAAAGGGAGAGAAGGAGAGAGAGAAACATTGATGTGAGAGGGACACATCAAGTGGCTGCCACCCACATGACCCCAACCGGGGCTGGGGACAAACTGCAACCAAGGTACGTGCCCTTAGTGGAAACTGACCCTGGACCTCTCTGGTCCATGGGCCAACACTCTAACCACTGAGCAAAACCTGCTAGGGCTTTTTTTTTAATCCTCACCCAAAGATATTTTTTCATTTATTCTGAGTGAGAGGATAAAAAGGAGCGGGGGTGAGAGAGAGACAGAGAAACATCAACTGGCTTTCTCCTGCACACCCCTGACCAGGGCCAGGGAATGAGCGCAACTAAGATATGTGTCATTGACTGAAATTCCACGACTCTTTGGTCCAAGGGTTGACACTCTAACAGCTGAGCCAAACCGGTCAGCGTGCAACACACCATATTTCTAAAAAATGGTTTTCTCTGACCAATTTTTCATTATAAACATAGGCCACGGCTAAATTTTAAAAGTAAGTACTACACAAAACTAAATTCAGAGCAGGAAAATTAATTTTATAATGGAGTACTTTACCTTGGTATCAAATTCGAGGTCTTCATCATCTGATGTTGGCCATGAATCATCAATGTCAGGTTTGCTGGAAGAGTAAAAATATACTTTAAAAAAGTTTATTTCTTTAAAAAGCAACCCAAAAAGTGAGTGAAAGTTCAGCTATCTGTGTATTAAATGAAGTTTCTTGATATAATTAAAATTTGGCTTTAGTTATATATTTCTGTCCCCACCTCTCTCCCAACTTATGACCTATTATATGAAGATGCACTCTAAGTTCCCATAATAATAGGTAACAGCCAATATATTGGAAAAGCCTGAAGCTAGTTTGTTTTCACCAAAAGTCCTGAAAGCTGAATTGAAAATCCAATAAATGGCTAACATAACTTTGGCTTCCTGAACTAGAACAAATCTGGTGACCTAAGTCAAGGTAGAAAGATACACTGTTCCTTCTTCACAATCCGTCCTTGGTTCAAAGAGTAATTCATGTCAAAATGGCAGTCTTGGTTCTTTAGCATGAAAACCACTTATTAAGAAGCATTTCTTCCTTTTACCCTAACTGTACAGAAGTTCCCTGAAAAGGTTGAAAATTAAATGTCCAAACGTCAAAAGACAAATTTATTTTGTTAAACCTTTCCACTCTCAGATAACCTTCTGCAGGCTCCATGAAAGGCTCCAACCTTTAAAATTTTACCTATGAAGACACAGACTCCTGAAACAAGAATGATCTCAAATGACCAAGACTAGGACCTCTCTATTTCCCCACTCCTATAAAACAAACTAAATGGAGTCTCAGTGATCCCCTCATATCATAGGCGTGCTACCAACTACCCAACTCCATCACTGATTTGACAGCCAGTCCTGCCCCTGCACACCTCTCCATGCACATAGGAAGGACATCAGTGACTTGGAGAAAATGGCAGGGGTGAGGAGACACCTGCCTTGGGCCATAGATCTATGTAGTTCAGCAATCTCTGAACCCTAGAACTCAAAGAGATCTAAGCTCCACTCTGTAAGCAAACAAACAAAAGAGCAGCAATCACTTCAGGACTCTCTGGAGCTCCTTATTTTAATCTGCCTTTCTAGACAACTCCCAACATCCTATGGCCTTCCTTCTTATAACTTATCTTTAACTTGTCATAACTCCAACGTTCTGATCTCTTTTTCCTTATTTGATCTCTCATCTGTTTTCTAAAACCCTTCTTCCTATCCCAACCCAGTGTTGTTCCTCTTGAAACTTGGGATTCTCCTGCTAATTCCATTCCTATCTTCTTCCACTGAATTCACTAAACCTACTCCCTACCTTTCTATTATTAAAACACTCACCTACAGAATGATAAAGAAGGGAGAGTGTTATACTTAGGAACCTGAATTTACATCTCATCTCCACCACTTACCATATCCAAATAAGTCACTTTAACCTCTTTGAGTTTCAAATTTTCTAAGTGAGCAACAGGTTGACCAGGATGTTAAACACAGGTTGAGGTACTACAGGGTGTTTTGATTTATTAATTGCTAAAATTCCTTAAACTCTTGAAATTCTATGTGCTTTAAATTCTGTCTGTAAATAAATGGAGAACAAATAACAGGCAGAAGTGGAAAAAATAACACAATTAGAGAAACACTAAGAACAGCAGAGAAGAAAATAAAAAATAAAAACAATCATGGAAGAAAAAAGAAACTAGGAAAAACAGAAAAATCTTCATATAACTAAGTTAGTAGCCTGAAGGAAAAACCAAACTGGGAAGTCAGTAAGTAGAGAAATCAATTAGAAATATCCTCTAAATTAATGCTGAATTCAATTAACATAACATGATCTATACACAGATATTTTTTACTTACAGAAAAATAATTTGTTTCGAGAAGAATAGATATTATTATACTTTAAAAAAACAAAAAACAAACACTTGCATGATTAGGTCTTCTTTAGGTAAAACCTTTGGTTCTGTGGCCACAGCTAAAACCAAGGCACTATTTACCACTGCAATTGTGAAGCACAGGAAGACACATGCTTGCACTAACTGGGCTTCTTAGAAAAACTCTAAATCAGAGTTAACACACACCTAGATTTGACTTTCTGAGTTGATCTGACTTGCATCTGTACCTTGATGCCAGTGCTACATGGGAACTTTACCTGTGTATGTTGAGAGCAACAGAATAGATTTGGGAGCCAAGCAGGTAGACAGTGAAATCATGTCAGCCACTTGCTACTGTAGAATCATGGGTCAATCAACCTCCCTGAACCAGGTGCCTATTTAAGGCAAAGTAGGGTATAATAGCACAGCTACATTGGAACCACGGTTCTCGAACTTAATTTGTTACGAAACACTGTTGTAGAAGAGATTTGTTCAAAAACCGAATCATTTTTTCCCCATTAGAAGCAATGTAAATTGAACTAATTCATTTCAGACCCCCAAATGATTCAGATTTAACCTTTCTTATGTTCAGTATATGTCTAAAGTACTGTTTAATCTATTTAAAAAAACACTTCTTAAATTTATCAAACAACCCCTACTAGCCTTAAAGGAATCACTTTCAGCCCTCATCCCAAGTATGTCTTTCAGGTCAGTGTGCAGCAACTTTATTTTTCCACATCTCATTGCCTTCAAAATATGGTCACTGACTGCTCTTCATTTATCCAACTTACCAACAGTTTTTCTACCTCTTCTATTGCTTATGATCATTGTTTCTTTCACACGCTTAGCAACATCAGCACTCTTGATGGCCTCTTTATGCTTTAAAATAGTGCTAATAGTCCATTTTGTCAGTAACAAAAGCAAAAGCAAAAAAACCAACCAAACAAAAAACAAAACTATTCACAGCACGATTTTCTGAAGGGTTAACAAGGTAAGATTTAGCTGTAAACTGACTCACACTGGTGCATTCTCTCCTTTGTTTGTAGCCCAGGTATGTTTTTAGTCCTGCTGATGTATCAGCATGAAAGGCTTGTCCAGTCAAGAACCAAAGTTTTGTTCTGCAACCTAGACATTTTTTCCTTGAACAACTTGGTCAACAACCAAATTGTTCGAGATGGGATATGTTTAAGAACTGAAGTTTGACTGTACTTTGCAAAGCTATTGTGATGACTATATAATAAACATTAAGCACATAATATAGTGTCTAGCCCAGGGTAGGACACTCAAGAAATTAGTTTAATTTCTTTGCATTCCATTAGTTAACATATAATTTTTAAAAATCTAAAAAAATCCTACCTTCTTAAAGAGTCTTCTTCAGAGCTCTCATTCACTATCAAAGAAAAAAGCAAAATACATTTTAAAACTACAACAGAAAAATACAGGACTTTAAAAGTACCAGATCGTTGCTTTGTTAGAAAGTATTTCTTTGAGACCACACCTGAAGACCAAACTAGAGTAAATATTAATGATATTATGATAGGCCATTAATAATGAAGAAAGTTTACATTCTCATTTTAAATATATCAAATGCAAAAAAAAAAAAAAGCCCTGGCTGGTTTAACTCAGCAGTTGGAGTGTTGGCCTATGGACCAGAGTCCCAGGTTCGATTCCCACACTTGGCATGTACCAAAAATAAATAAATAAATATATCAAATGTAAGAAATAAAAAAAATGGGATCTATCATAATTTGATACCTACCAGAAAACTGTTATTTACAATGATCATAATCCTTACAAACACCAACAGACAGAAAATGGTATCATTAGTCGAAGCAGTATTGTAAACTAACAATGTCAAACTTAAATAGCATGATTTTTCTGGACTCCTTCCATCAACAGCAGTTAGAACAGTAGGCTTATTTTGCTGTAACACAACACAACTTCTCCAGCTCTTCAGTGAAGACCAGCCAGTTTAGAAAACGCTCTTATCACAAGGAAGGTTGGTTGATAGGCAGCACAGCAAAACATAGAAAAGAGACTCTCTCTGGTTCTATTTCCAATTGCAAGATAAGTGTGAAAGACTTTGTGACTCCAGCTGTATCAAGTGTAACCCTTGAGACTGTCTCCTTCCATTGCTGGACCTTTCTGGACCCACCACATAGAGCAGGATGGTCCAAGCAGTTAGTGCTCTGCAGTAGTGCGTGAGGTCATTTTCCTCAACCCTCCTCGTCATGTGGCAAATGCCCATGGAAATCACCCTTCGTAAGGTTGTAGGGCCTATGACATCAGATCTATGCTGATGACAGACAACAAACCACAAAGGAGAAAAAACTTATTGGGTAACTACATTGAATCACCTTGGAATTTTAATTTTTGAAACATTCAGAAAGATCCCCAAAGTATACAACATTCAGGAAAAGGTGAAACTATGGAGACAGTAAACAGATCAGTGGTTTCCAGGGGTTGGGGAGAGGAAGGGATAAATGAGCAAATCACAGAGGATTTTCGGGGCACTGAAATAATCCCATATGGTATTGTAATGGTGCATATGTGTTATCATACATTTACCAAAACCCACAGAACATACAACATCAAGAGTGAACCTTAATGTAAACTGTGGACTCTGAGTCATTATTTGGGTTTATGTGTTATACATAATTACAGTCAGAAAGTTATTGCACAGAGTACCTGTCCTGGGCCCTGGCTGGTTTGGCTCAGCGGTTGGAGCATCAACCTGCAGACCAGAGTCCCAGGTTCAGTTTCTGCTAGGGGCACGTACCAAAAAAATAAATAAATAAAACTGTCCTGGAATTTATTTTTCTTGATACTTGTTTTAGAGATTCTAATAGATCTATATTTATTTGAATAAAGGCATAAAAGGGATAAATGAAACAATGATGTCAGAAAATAATGTAAAAAAGAAAAAATCCTATTTTAATAAAAAAATAAAGAATTCTAATGGTTGACAATATGTTCTATAGTATAAAATTTCCTATAAAGAGAATAAAAACATCACACTGCAATTTTCTTCAACTAAGTAAGGTTTACTGCCTTTTTACAATAGTCATAATCAAACAAGTTACTAGAATAACTACTGAAAAATAGTAATTACCATATAAAGTATAAGAGTGTTCCAGTGATTACAGAGTTCTTTTAATTTCTTCCTAATCTTTTTATTAATTTCTTATTAAGCTAAAACCATGGCTCACCTATTAAAGACAGTTGACAGGACAAGTCAAAAAGTTGAATAAATTGTGAGGTATCACCTCACACCTGTCAGAATGGCCACCATCAACAAATCATCAAACAACAAGTGTTGGCGAGGGTGTGGAGAAAAGGGGACTCTAATGCACTGCTGGTGGGAATGCAGACTGGTACAGCCACTATGGAAAACAATTATGGTGTTACCTCAAAAAATTAAAAATTGAACTTCCATTTGACCCAGTGATCTCGCTTCTAGGAATATACCCTAAGAAGCCTGAAACACTAATCAGGAAGAATATATGTACCCCCATGTTCATAGCAGCACTATTTACAATAGCTAAGATCTGGAAACAGCCCAAGTGTCCATCAGTAGACGAATGGATAAAAAAGCAGTGGTACATATACACAATGGAGTACTATGCAGCTGTAAGAAAGAAAGATCTCTTATCCTTTGAGACGACATGGAGGGACCTGGAAAGTATTATCCTAAGTGAAATAAGCCAAGCAGAAAAAGACAAATACCACATGATCTCACTTATATACGGAATATAATGAACATAACAGTCTGAGGAATACAGTAGACCCAGAAACATGGAAGTTGGGCACAGAGTGACATCCTTCAGAAGAGGGGGTGGAGGGGTGGGAAGAGATAAACCACAGAACTTATATGCATGTATGCGTGACCAATGGACATGAACAACAAAGCCGGGGATGAGGTGGGGGTGGGGTGGGGAGGGGGGTGCCAATGGGGTAAAAAAGGAGAATCATCTGTAACAAAAAAATTGATTAATTTAAAAAAAAGTTGAAAAAATTGTATCTAAAATGTAGATGAATTATCCATGTATATTCCACCAAACTCAACATGTATGGAAGAAAACTGGTCTTCCCTGTTAACTGTTGCTCTTCCCTGTTCATCTGATGAAGTCCTATTCTTCATGTCCAGTTTAAATGCCAGTGCACAACCTGGAAACCTATGTCACATCTTAGATTCTTCTCTCCCTGCTAACTTTTCGCATTCAATCATCACCAAATCATATTGACTAAACCTCTTTTCTGTCTCTGTTTTATTTTGCCACTGCCCCTGCCCTAGTCAAACATGGGTTCTTAAGAGGCCTACCAATAACATCATTAATACTTACAAAACCACTATTAACTACTATTGCTATTTCTTTTTTCTTTTAATTTTTTTCTTCATTGATTTTAGAGAGAGAAAGGGAGAGGGAGAAGGGGATAGAAATATCATTGAGAGAAACCATTGATTGGCTGCTACCTGTGACCTCCACTGGGGATCAGGCCCACAACCAGAGCATGTGCCTTGACAGGGAATTGAACTGACAACCTCTAGTACATGGGTAGATGTTCAACCACTGAGCCACACCAGCCAGGTGCTATGTCTTAAAAGAACAAGATTTTTAAAGCAAACAAATAAAAAACACATAGGTCTACAAAAACACATTTTAAATTGAATAAGTTTAGCTTCCTGACTTTTTAATTTCAGCATGGATAGGTAAAAACTTTATAATGGATTGATACTAGTCCAAGAAAAATTCTACTCACTTTTTAAAAATTTCAATTCTCCATCATTCACTTAAAAATGTCTAGCACATACTACACACCAACAAAAAAGAATAATGATAATTATAAGCACCTAGTTAGCTTGGGCACCTAGCAAACACTGAATAAAGTATAATAAATAATAAAAATGATAATGATAATAACAAGGTCCTGAGGGGCAAGGACTGTGTTTTTAAAATGTTTGAATTTTGTAACATCAGAATAACACTTAGTACCTAAAAGACACTTGAGAGTTAAATAGTAAACCATTAATCGAACAAATGAATAATTGCATATTAAAATATTTTTGAAAATTTTGTTTAAAAAAACCCACAGAAATAAACCAGGGACACCTTGATATTATGAGCATGTCAAGGTCAAAACCCTATTTTATCTTTGTGTTTCCTAAAACTTGCAAAACCAACCTACACAAGTTCTTCAATAAAAGTATACTAAGTCCAAGGTGTCCTCACACAGTTCAGTTTGCACAATGAACTAGGTGCCACATCTGGGTAGCACTGTAGCATTTTTGTTATTGTGAAACATTTTTGTATTTTTGTAATAATGATTTGTTGAGTCCTGAGTTGGGCTTTATGAATATTTATTATGATTATCTTTTGACCAATGAAAACAGAGCATATTTGTCTAAAGCAATTACTGTGTCATGACAATTATCCAACAAGCAGAAGAAACTATCTTGTTCTGATGAAGTCAACGTATCTCATTCTGTTTTGACTTCTGAGGAATGAGGTTAATACTAGTGAGACCTTGTTGGAATAACAATATGTAAAATAACCTATGCTTCTCAACAGGCATTGCCTTTCTGACTTCTGTACAAAGAGATCTTTAAAAAACAATCTCATTGGTATTGCTGCACACTAAGTGTTGAAGTTCTTATCATTTGCCATTTGTTTACAGTACCAAGAAAACATTGTTGAGTTCCTAGTTTTAGTTATTTTTTCAGTGAGACAAATCACTATGTAATAATGAGTATTCACTTAATAAATGTACTCCATTTGCTGTAAAAAAATAAACAAAAGAGGCCTGGCCAGTGTGGATAAGTGGTTAGAGTGTTGGCTCTCAAACCACACCAAATGAAAAATCACAGGCTTATTTCCTGGTCAAGGGCACATACCTGTGTTGCTGGTTTGATCCCCAGCTTCGGTCAGGGCACATTCGAGAAGCAACCAATATATGTGTCTCTCTCACTTTGATGTTTCTCTCTTTCTCTCTCTCCTACCCTCCCTCCCTTCCACTCTCTCTAAAAAACTAATAAGAAAAATATCCTTATTTACAATAGCTAAGATCTGGAAACAGCCCAAGTGTCCATCAGTAGACGAATGGATAAAAAAAGCTGTGGTACATATACACAATGGAGTACTATGCAGCTGTAAGAAAGAAAGATCTCTTATCCTTTGAGACAACATGGAGGGACCTGAAAAGTATTATCCTAAGCAAAACAAGCCAAACAGAGAAAGACAAGTATCATATGATCTCACTTATTTGTGGAATATAATGAACATAACAGTCTGAGGAATGGGGTAGTCCCAGAGACGTGGAAGTGGGATTGAGACTGACAATCCCCAGAAGAGGGGGTGGTGGGGGAGAGATAAACCACAGAACTTATATGCATGTGTGCATGAACAGTGGACATGGACAACCAAGCTGGGGATAGGACAGGGAGGGAGGGGGAGGGGGGAATCAGTGGGGTGGAAAAAGAGAAACGTCTGTAACAAAAATTAATTAATTAATTAACAAAAAAAATATATATTCTTGGGTGAGGATTAACAAATAAGTAAATAAATCAATAAAAGATCCCTTTAATAACAAGTTTAATCTGTTGTAATGTGATTATAGAGGAAATATACAACATCCTAACATAAAATCTTTTTTTTTTTTTTTTTGCATAAAAATATCATGTGAGATTTTAGGGGTCATGACTAAATAAATGAACTTCTTTTCAGACACTGTTGCCCCAAATTTTAAATTACCTACAATTAACTTTTTAAATAATGCTAAATACTAGACTGCTAAAAAAGAAATTAAGGAAGTAAAACTAGCCCTGGCCGGTTTGGCTCAGCAGTTAGAGTGTTGGCCTGCAGTCCAGGGAGACCCGGGTTCGGTTCCCGCTAAGGGCGCGTACCTCGGTTGCAGTTTGTCCCTGGCCCTGCTTGTTCGTATAGGTGGCAGCCACTCGATGTGTCCCTTTTACGTTGATATTTCTCTCTTTCTCTTCCTCTCTCTCCCTCCCACTCTATCTGAACAAAAAATGGAAAAATGTCCTCAGGTGAGGATAAAAAAAAAAAAAAAAGAAAGTAAAACTATACATGCAATTTACACATTTTTTCAGTGTCCTTTCATGATCAAATCTTCCTTACATCTATTTATCTATGGTAGGATCAACAAGAGTAATTTACTATCAAAGGTCTTACCAACACTTTTGCTAGTTTCAGAAGACTTTTTAGGTGTCCTTTCTTCTTTATATTCAGAAGGTAGTTGTTGATTGCTGTGTATAAAAAATGGTGATAAATAATATTACTCTCTTAATACTGACATAAAAAATATTTTCCAAATACAGTCAAATCTTGGTTCTCAGTCGTCTCCCATCTCAAACAATTCACTTCTCAGCCTGACAGCCCTTTCGTGCTGGCATCTCTATGATCAGTCAGTGTCTCTCAGGTAACAAAGGAGAGAGTGCGTGAGTATGAGTCAGTTTACTGCTGTTTACAGCTCAGGAAACTGTGCTGTGAATATTTTCATGTTTTTTTGCTGTTTATTATTATTATTAAATTTTCATTTTTTACTGTGCATTTCATTTTCATTTGATTAAATTTTCATTTATATTTCATATCTTTTGTTCTTTTAAAGTGCTTATTTATACATTACACAATACATTAGATATGGACTATAAAAAAGGTTAAAACAGGAAATCATTTTTGGGGTCTAGAACGAATGAATTCAATTTACATGATTTCTAATAAGCAACAAATGCTTCAGTGTTTGAACGGCCTTCCAGAATGAATTAAGTTTGAGAATTGAGGTTTTACTGTATATTAAATTTGTGGAGTATTTCAGATAATATCAGAGCTAATATTAAGATTTTATTCATACCATACACTTTAAGTTTGTAAGTTCTACACACTTTTTATTAAGCATGTAATTAAAGAAAAAAAAAGTAACATGAAGGAGTCATGATTTGAGGGCAGTATAGTTCAATGAATTAATTCGAGTTGACATAATGGCAAGTGTCACGTCTCAGACACCCTACTTCTATAATCAACAGCTATTTGTTCTCACACAAGTTACTTCTGTTGGCTCAGTCCTCTACAAAATAAGAATCTTACTGCCTTACTTTACAGGGTTGTTAGGATGAGTAAATGAGATAATAGAGCAAAAAGAGATGCTCAGAGAAATAGTAAAGCAAAAAAAAAAACAAAATCTGTTCATGAACTTTATTTGTTGAAACTATTTTGGAATCCCAAATCAACCCCAATGTAGGTTTTTTCATCGGTTCTAACATTCAAATAAATGTTGCAATTTTTAGAAAATGTTATTAATTTTGGCTACTAGCTGTTCTTTCTTTCTGGTTTGTAATTAAGGGTATCTCAGCTATTATATAACGTGCAAATAAATTTATTTATAAATATATTACCACATAAAGTCAGATAACGGAATGCTCCCCTGTTTTTGTAGCTAATCATACCAATGGCAGAAAACAAACAGATGTCAGGACCTGGCCTGGACTACTGCTATCCCTTCTCTACCTACTCACTCTGTGAACCTGCAGATCTTTATGAGGATGATGGTTCATCTCCCTGTCCACTCCCAAAAGGCTTAGAAGATACAATCCTACTTGTCACAGGTGGATACTGATGAGTCATGAATGGGGCTTTAGCAATCTGGCTCACTGCTACTTCTAACTAATCTAGTCTTTTGCTAGGTTTCTGGCTGATGACACAGACTAACTCACTCACTTCCATTCCCAACTGCCTGAACCAAACTATGAAATCTCACCTATTACATAAAAAGTAACAGTTAAATTATAAACCTCAGTTTAATGATAACTAGCACTTTAAAGTAGACACTTACAAATTAAAGCCACTAACAAAAGCATTTTCTTCTTTAGTCCACCCATGGTTATCTTGAGAAAAGACATCAGTACCTTGCTGAAGAAGCAGCCTGACTGTATTGTGGACTCATCATTTACAGCAAGCATGAGGGCTGCATATATAACACAGACAGAACCTCACCCTCAGGAACTTAAGTTACATTACTTATATAACAGCTAATTAAATCTCCTTACCAAGTTAATACCCTGTTTATAGAGAACTGACAATGTACACACTGAAGTGTTCAACTTTGTAAATTACCTCCAATGTTAAAATGAAGAGACAAAAAAGAAGCCTCTTGTCCCACTGGGTATTGCATAGTAGAAGTGGCTAACTTAAAGTCCTCTAACAGATAAGTAACTATGCTGAGGTCACCAATATGAAGTAGATAAAGATTTAAATGAAGAATTTCCTGTTTCATTCTTAGTCTGATATATTGTATTTCAAAGTCAGCTAGAGGTAAGGAAAAGCTATTTGGCCAGCTTTAAACAATATTAATAATTGTAATAATAACAGTCATATGTAGAGTTAATGATGCTGGTAACCAAGTGCTAGACACTAAGTTAAATACTAGATAATCATATACACAACCACCTTTGTATATCAGGAAACGTATTTGGTGATTATAAGTAGTGTTCCCAAGGTCACACACCTGGCAAGTAGTGAAGCTAGGCATTAACCCCAGTCTTGTGTGACCTGAAAGCCCATCTCTTTCTTCTTTATCGCCCACCTATGACTTATCTTCATTAATAGAAATGCTTGTTCAATTAAAGTTATCTTTCTTCTACCTATGCCAATTAAAAATAAAAACATCAAAATATACTAGACATGGAAAAGGAGAAAAACTGATGAGCCCACTCTATCTGGTAGCAGTTATTCACAGTCAGTTAGGGATAACCTAATGACATCAGTATTCATCAAAGAAAAAAATTCAAAGCAAAGACTCCTCCAAAAGACAAAATCAACTCTTATTTATGTGTAATATACACCTTTTAAAAAAACCACATACAAAGTAAAGACTTAAAAAACTGAATAGAGACTAAGTCCACTATTGTATTATAAAGTAAACTAACAGAGTCCATACAATATAAAACTACTATGAAACCCCTCTAAATAATATGAAATCACACAATAAAAAAGATCATACTGCAAATGACATCAGTCAATATTATAAATATGAATCCTGCAGTATACTGTTCTTCCAGTTGTCCAGTCAGAATAATTGCTTTCTATCTAATTAATGATGTATTAATACTTTCACTATATAAGTTAATTCTCTCATTAATTTAATCATTCTGACTTGAGAGATTCTTTCCACTGTAGAACAGTATTAACATCTACAAAAGTTGAACCATACCTCTTCATCTCATCGACTGCATGTATTCTTGCTCCCCTCTTTACTAAAATCTCCACAATTTGGTCTTTGTTTTCACTTTGAGCAAGTGAAAGTGGTGTGAGGTCATCCTATAAAGCAGCAAAAACAATTTAATTTATAAAATTACACATTCGAAACTGAGTTTTAAAACTTATAAAAGATCCGAGATAGAAAATGGCGGCAGAGTGAATGGAAGCTACACAGACCATCTCCCAGGACCAAATTAGAATTACAATGAAAATAAAGACAAATTCTCAGGAATGAGCAACCAAAAGGCAGCTTGGAGGACCACATAACCAGGGACAATGACTCAATCCAGGTAGGCTTGCAAGGACGTGAGAGGGGGCCAGGAGCCCACGGTCCACAGCGGCCTGGGCTGGGACCAGCGAACTAGGCTGGGACCAGGGGACTCGGCTGAAAGCTGCGCCCTCGGCGGGGTCCAGCTGCCTCGGCTGGAAGCTGCTGCCGCCTCGGCTGGTTCCAGTGACCACGGCTGGGTCCTGTGGCATCGGCTGGGTGCTACACCCTCAGCTGAGTCCTGCGAACTAGGCTGGGTGCTATGCCCTCAGCTGGTGCCGCAACCTCAGCCGCAGTTGGCTGGGAGCAGCGCCCTCAGGTTAAAAGTCCCAGGCAGCTCCACAATGCAGAGTCCGGACAGAGGCTAAATTGGAAGAAGCCACTCACCTTGGGCTCCGGCAGAGGGAAGGCAGACTGGACTGGAACTGTGTGGGGGCACTCAGGATTTGGAGGGTGCTCAGAGCTTTTCCTGAGTGCAGCCACACAGGACTGTGGTCATTATACTCCTTCCCAGGGCCCTGGGGAGAGGGCAACGGCCCCTCCCTCAGAGATTCAACCTCATTCAATGGCCACTGAAATACCAATTGAGGCCCATTAACAACCAGCATCTGCCCCACCCTTGGAAAATCCTCTTACACTGAGATCCTGAAGTTGTTTTTCAGTCAACTCAGAAACCAAGGTTCTTCAGGTGACCTCTACTAATAGCCTCCAGGCAAAAAAGCTAGAGGATAACTACCATTCCCTGGGCTAGCAACTCTAACCAGAAAAGTTAAGACTTGACAGTGGTGCTTAAAGTGGGTACTCCGTGCCTCATCCAAACCCATGAGAGAGCCACAAATGACCAAACACCAACATCCACAGGGAAAATTTGGCAGACTCCAAAGCACACTGTGATAGCCAAAATGGTGAAACACAGAAACAAAAGCCAAATGAAAGAACAAGAGACCTGTACCGAAGATGAGATAAATGAGGTGCAGTTAAGCAAGTTAATAGAACCAGAATTCAGAGCCATAATCTTGAAGAAGCTCAACAGCATGTGTAAGGACATGAGGACATGAGTAAAAACATAGAAATGTTGAAAATCAACCAGTTGGAAATTAAAAATGACATATCAGAAATGAAAAACACACTGGAAGGTCTAAAAAACAGAGTATAGGAAGCTGAGGACCGGATCAGTGAATTAGAAGACAGGGTAGAGCCCTGGCCGGTTTGGCTCAGCGGTTAGAGCGTCAGCCTGCGGTCCACAGAGACCCGGGTTCGGTTCCCGCTAAGGGCATGTACCTTGGCTGCAGTTTGTCCCCGGCCCTGGTTGGGTCGTGTGGGTGGCGGCCACTCGATGTGTCCCTTTCACATCGATGTTTCTCTCTCTTCCTCTCTCTCCTTCCCGCTTTGTCTGAGTGAAAAATGGAAAAATGTCCTCGGGTGAGGATTAAAAAAAAAAAAAAGAAGACAGGGTAGAAAATATCAACCAATCAGAAAACCAAAAAGAAAAAAGGATTAAAAATAAGAAGACAGCTTAAGAGAACTGTGGGACAACTGGAAATGTAATAATATTCGTATCACAGGATCTCCGAAGAACAAGAAAAAGAGCAAGGATTAGAGGATATATTCAAAGAAACAGTAACAGAAAACTTTCCTAATTTGGTGAAGGAAGAAGGCATTCAAGTTCAAGAGCACAGAGAGCCCCAAGTAAGAAGAACCCAAACAGGTGCACACCAAGACACATAGTAATCATACTGCCAAAATTTAAAGACAAAGAGGAAATCCTAAAAGCAGCAAGAGATAAGCAACAGGTTACCTACAAAGGATACGCCATAAGGCTCTCAGCTGACTTCTCACAAGAAACACTACAGGCCAGAAGGGAATGGCATGAAGTAATCAAGGTCATGAAAAACAAGGATCTGAATCCAAGAACACTCTATCCAGCAAGGCTATCGTTCAAAATAGAAGTTCAAATATGGAGCTTCCCAGACAAAAAAAAGCTAAAGAAATACATTACCACCAAACCAGCACTGCAAGAAATGTTAAAAGGACTGCTGTAATTAGCAGGAGAAATGGAAGGAAAAATAGAACCACACTAAAAAAATTGGCAATAAATAAGAACATATCTATAATCATGTTAAATGTAAAAGGATTGAATGCTCCCATAAAAACACAGAGTAGGTGATTGGATAAGAAAGCATACCTCATCTATATGTTATTCACAAGAGACCCACCTCACAACAAAAAAGTCACATAGGTTGAAAGTGAAGGGATGGAAAAAAATCTTCCAAGGAAACGGAAAGAAAAAATAGCTAGGATAGCAATACTCATATCTGATAGAATAGATTTCAAAATGAAGGCTATAACAAGAGACAAAGAAGGCCACTAAATAATATTGCAAGGATCTATCCAACAGGAAGATACAACCTTGATAAACATATATGCACCCAATATAGGAGCACCAAAATATATTAAAAATCTTCTGGAGGACTTCAAAGGAGAAATCGATAGCAATACAATCATAGCAGGGGACTTCAACACCCCACTGACATCACTGGATAGATCCTCTAGACAAAAAATTAGCAAGGAAACAGAAACTCTAAATGAAACTCTAGACTAAATGGATTTAATAGATATCTACAGAGAATTACACCACAAAACTGCAGAATTCACATTCTTCTCAAGTGCACATGGGACATACTCAAAGATAGACCACATGTTAGGGTACAAACTAAGTCTCTACAAGTTCAAGAAGACTGAAATCATATCAACCATCTTCTCATATCACAATGGCATGAAACTAGAAATCAATTGCAAGAAGAACATACAAAGACATTTGAACACATGGAGGCTAAATCGCATATTATTAAACAATGAATGGGTCACCAAAGAGATCAAGAAAGAAATCAAAACTTCCTGGAAAGCAATGAAAATGACACAACAACACAAAACTTATGGGATGCAGCAAAAGCAGTTCTGAGAGGGAAGTTCATAGCGCTACAGGCCAACCTCAAAAAACATGAAAAATCTCTAATACACTATATAACCTCACAACTTAAAGAACTAGAGAGCAAACAAAATGAAAACCTCAGAGCAAGTAGAAAAAAGGAAACAGTAAAGATCAGAGCAGAAATAAATGACATAGAGACCAAAAAAATTATTCAAAAAATCAATGAAACAAAGAGCTGGTTTTTCAAAAAGATAAACAAGATTGATGGACCCTTAGCTAGACTCACCAAGAAACAAAGAGAGAGAACCCAAATACACAAAATCAGAAATGAAAGAGGAGAAGTAACAACTGACATCACAGAAATACAAAAGGTTGTTAACAACTACAATGACCAATTATATGGCAACAAATTTAATAATCTAAGTGAAATGGACAAATTTCTAGAAACACATAGACTCCCAAAACTGGACCAGGAAGAGATAGAATACTTGAACAGACCAATAACAACAGAAGAAATTGAAGATGTAATCAAGACTCTCTCAGCAAACAAAAGCCCAGGCCCAGATGGTTTTACGGGGGAGTTTTACCGAACATTCAAATAAGAACTAACACCCATTCTCCTCAAACTATTTCAAAAAATTCAAAAAGAAGGAAGACTTCCAAACTCGTTTTATGAAGGCAGCATAATTCTAATTCCAAAACCAGAAAAAGACACTTCAAAGAAAGAAAACTACAAGCCAATATCTCTCATGAACATAGACGCCAAAATTCTGAACAAAATATTAGCAAATCAGATCCAGCAATACATCAAAAAAATTATTCACCATGACCAAGTGGGATTCATTCCAGGAATGCAAGGCTGGTACAATATTCGCAAATCAATAAACGTGATACACCACATAAATAAAATGAAGAATAAAAACCACATGATCATATCAATAGATGCCGAAAAAGCCCTCAACAAAATCCAGCATCCATTTCTGATAAAAACGCTCAGCAATCTGGGAATAGGGAGATCATATCTAGACATAATAAAGGCCATATATGAAAGACCTATAGCCAACATCATACTCAATGGGCAAAAACTGAAAGCATTTCCCTTAATACTGGAACAAGGCAAGGATGCCCACTTTCGCCACTCTTATTTAACATAGTACTGGAAGTCTAAGCCACAGCAATCAGACAGGAAGAAAAAGTAAAAGGGATGCAAATTGAAAAGGAGGAAGTAAAACTGTCATTATTTGCAGATGACATGATACTATAGGTAGAAAACCCCAAAAACTCCATCAAAAGTTTACTAGACTTAATAAATGAATTTGGCAAAGTAGCAGGGTACAAAATTAACGTCAAGAAATCGATGGCATTCCTATACACCAATGATGAACTTACAAAAGAGAAACTAAGAAAACAATCCCATTTACCATTGCAGCAAAAAAAATTCGGATACCTAGGAATGACCTTAACCAAAGAAATAAAGGATCTATTCACAGAAAATGACAGGTCATTGAAAAAAGAAATAGAGGAAGATATAAAAAAGTGGAAGCACATACCCTGTTCATAGATTGGGAGAACTAACATCATTAAAATGTCCATATTACCCAAAGCAATCTATAGATTCAATGCAATCCCCATCAAAATACCAACAGAATACTTCACAGAATTATAACAAGTACTTCAAAAGTTCATATGGAACCAGAAAAGACCTCAAATAGCCATAGCAATCTTGAAAAGGAAGAACAAAGTTGGAGGGATCACATTACCAGATTTCAGGTTATACTACAAAGCCACTGTAATCAAAACAGCCTGGTACTGACACAAGAATAGGCATATAGACCAGTGGAACAGAACAGAGAACCCAGA